TGACAAAGCTCTGTCCTTGCCTCCATGGGTCCCGCATTTCCTGGCAGATTTCGCTAGCCTCAGAGGCTCACTGTGACCCTCCACATAACCCTTCTCTCTCTAGAGACAAGGGTCACAGTCTACTGAGCCATTTTCATCATAAGCCAGTGAGGGGAGGGGAGGAGAAGTTATCTTTCCTTGCACAGTCTATGTTGTCTCCCAGTCTCAGTGATTAATCAGGGGACAAAGGTGGCGGGGAGCCCAGGCCCACCCTCTACTCTGGGCTCCAGCCCAGGGACCCTATTAGTATCAGCTATGGTAGCTGACCTTTTAGAAACATGACATGTACAATTCCCTGGGCTACTTCCCCCACACAGCAGCCCTCACTTCCTCAAGCTCCACTTCACCCTTACCTCAGGGCCTCCTTCCTTGTGCCTCATATGGTGTGTACTACTCAGCCTCTCCAACAGCGCAACTTCCTTCCACAGCTCCTGACATGCACAGCCACCTGACTGACTGGGAGGCTTTTAACTAGTTTCAGCTGGCCCCTGATTGGCTTCAGGTGTCCCAATCAACCTAGCATTCTCCCTGCCTTCTGGAAAGTTCTTAATTGACCTGGAGCAGCTTCCATTTCACTTATCCTGGTACCAGGGATTTGTTTAGCCTGGAGCTAATATATCTATCTCCCACTACTTTTCTATAGCCATCTGGCCTTACCCCGTCACAGTCTATAATCGAGTGACCAAAGAGATTGAAGTGTTCTCCGACTGGTTTTTGAATGTTATAATTCTTGACATCTGATTTGTGTCCATTTATTCTTTTACGTAGAGACTGTCCAGTTTGACCAATGTACATGGCAGAGGGGCATTGCTGGCACATGATGGCATATATCACATTGGTAGATGTGCAGGTGAACGAGCCTCTGATAGTGTGGCTGATGTGATTAGGCCCTATGATGGTGTCCCCTGAATAGATATGTGGACACAGTTGGCAACGGGCTTTGTTGCAAGGATAGGTTCCTGGGTTAGTGTTTCTGTTGTGTGGTGTGTGGTTGCTGGTGAATATTTGCTTCAGGTTGGGGGGCTGTCTGTAGGCTCTCCAGCAGGTAATAGCTCACCTTACCTGATCACTCTCGTTACAGTGTGTATGGTAACACCCATTGTTTCATGTTCTCTGTGTATCTAAATCTCCCCACTGTATTTTCCACTGAATGCATACAATGAAGTGAGCTGTAGCTCACGAAAGCTTATGCTCAAATAAATTTGTTAGTCTCTAAGGTGCCACAAGTACTCCTTTTCTCCTGCCTTAGTAGAAGCTCCCCTGAGAGAACCTGAATCAAAAAAATAACAATACATTTTCTCAAAGACTGTACTGCTCAAACACTGAGTCTTACAAATTCTTTTTCTATGTGTAACAGTGCACTCTGGTGACTCCTGCCAGAACGCTATGCAAATTACACTGCTCTAACTTGGCCTGCTGGGCTACATTTCCTGGGCAAAGGGCCCCTATGTGTCCAGCCATTCCACCATCTGGAGGACATACCAAAATTAGTTGGTACCAAAATTAGTCGCATCCAATGAAGTGAGCTGTAGCTCACGAAAGCTTATGCTCTAATAAATTTGTTAGTCTCTAAGGTGTCAAAAGTACTCCTTTTCTTTTTACAAAATTAGTTGGTTATGTGAAAGGGTTAGTCTTGCCACTGTTCTCTTATGAGATCCAGATTTGCTGAAGGCTGAAACTCATATAAAAGTACTAGTATCAACTGGGAGGTGGTCCCCCTGCTTTTAATTCCTCCCCCACTTTAATGATTATATTCTCCTCTTCTTGCTCATCATCCATGGTGGGAACTCTAGGACTTCTTGTTCTGGATCAAAGTCACAAATTATTTTGTTTGTGTTTAAAAAAAGAGAAAGAAAAAACCCAAACAAACCTTTTATAACATTTTTATTTCACAGAAATGTTTGACATTTTATTCCAATTTGGACCTCACCTAATTTTAAAATGTGAAAATTTCCCATGGAACAAATATTCGGTTTCCAACCAGCTCTGCTTATAACTCAGCCAATTTGGGTGAATTTTCACAGAAACAGCAAACAGCAACTCCCTGATCCCAGGGCTACCATTCTGCAAAATTTCAAGGGCATAGAGCTTCTCAGAGAAATGATTGTAAAAGTTATTTAACATGAGCAAAAACCCCACCTATTTTCATCCTAACTCATTCTCTGAAATGGATGAACCATTTTTGCTGAAACTTTCACAAAACAATTATTCTCAAACAGAGACTCAGCATGGAAAAAATTCAGCCCAAACAGATTTTGAAAAAACTGTAAACTAAGTCTTATAATGAAATATGTTAGATTTAACTAAAGACATCACTATGTTGACCATTGATCACTGTCCTGACTTTGGAGGGTTTATAGTTTAGGGTAAATATAAGCTATCTGCTAAGCATCCTTATAGAAATAATAATGAAAGTTATTGCAGCTGTAACAGGAAGTAGAAGAACCAAAATATCCCTATTAAAAGTAGGCTTGGCCATAGGTGGTGGAACTAGGGGTGCTGCCACTCCCCCTGGCTTGAAGTGGTTTCCGTTTGGTTTACAGTTTACAGTGGTTTACAGTTTGGTTCCATGACTCTCAGCATCCCTAGTATAAAAATTGTTCCAGCACCCCTGGCTTGGCTATAGCTCTTAAGCATTACATTTCTATGACTTAGATGAGGTTTAGAAGTTGACAGTTGGTGTAACATAGTATGAGTATTATATAATTGACCAAAGATTATGGAATGCTTGACCTGATGTTACAGAATCTATCAATAGGCATGTTGTGATAGTTTACCAATGAATTTGGTGATAAACAGATACACCCCAAACAAACAGATAGTCGTGTCTCAAGGGCTTTTTGTGGTAAGAGCTAACTGCATTGACATATCAAAACTATTGGGAAAGGGACTGATGCAAATGGTTGGGTTAACTGCTGGAAATGTAATTATGATTAACTGGAACGCCAAATATGAACAACTGGAACCCTAAAATTGGTCTCCTGGAATACTAAATATTAATATGGGCTGAGAATTGACTTGATCATATATGGTCCCAGATGTACATGGATGGAACAGGAAAAAGTGTAGAAAATTTTGTCAACCCCATCCCTAGCTGGGACACTGGGATGATAACATGGAACAATAGGGTAGGAAGCATGTCCCAGCGCCTTCCTCGTTGCGTGATCTCCATTTACCTTTTCTTCTCTCTTTGTTTCTAATGGTCTCCATAAGGTTGCAACTATGCACACTGTAAGATTGGAAGCATGATCAATGCACAAAAACACTTTATTGTACTTATTTTATTCTTATGTATATTGATTTTTCATTATTTCAATTATATTTGTCTGTATTAACTAAAGATCTTAAAGATTTTGTGTATGCTTCACCAGTTTCATCTTCTTAATTAACTAGAAGTAGCTGCATGAATAAAGAACCTGAACCCTAAATCTCGGGTGCACTTTGGGCCCTAGATTAATTGCAGGCACAACTGTCAGCTCCACCTTATATTTTATAATACTATTTTTGTATTTATTAATTTAGCAGTGAACAAGTAAACCCTAAGATCTGGACCATTGCTCTGTTAGATGATTGCAAGCACTGTGCATGTGATGTGAATGATATCATCAACTCGTGTAAATCAATACAGTTCTATCATTATCATCTTACAGCAAGTGAAGCCAATGTAAACTTTGTTATTAGCTTCAATAAGAGCAGAAATAAGCCTTTAAAATGCCTGGATTGCTGCTAGCTCAGCAGACTGAAAATAGGTTTGGAACCATTCACTTCAACTTTCAATTTTAGCACAGTTTGGCAAAAAACACAAGTAATCATTACTGGCAAATTTTCATACTTGGGTAACATTTTGGCACCTAAATATTTATTTCGAGACCACACATTAAAAAAGCCATACCAACTTTTACCTTAACAAGTGTGTGACAGAAGATCTGCCAATGATTTATATTTCATGGCAAGGAAAAACAGAGATAAACAGAGGCCTGGATAGACTAGATACAACCACACTCAGTGATCTGTGGAAGGCTATACTTGAATTTGGCATGAGAGAGGCTGCATTACTCATTGTTTAAATATATCTCCTCTGCTGGCCATCTCTGGCAGGATGGATCATGCATTTGTTCACCAAGCTTTACTGTGTGTGGATGTCTTGAGAAAATTGGTTTGGAAAACAAGGAGAGCTGCCTTGGACTGAAGTGGGAGGGAACATAATGAGCGTATGCAAGGCAGTGGGATAGGAAAGAACTCTCTGGGCAGATCAGCAAGGTGTCATTCTGGCCAGGGAGGTCAGAGACTGGGCTTGCTCTTTATACCTGTGAGAGCTTCCTTTTTATTCTGTAGCTAAGCAACCAGAGCCTGCCTCTCTGGGTTTGGGAAATTACCCAGATAAGGCATGTGATGCAAACTGCTGCTTTTAATTTAATCTGATTCTCTGTCTCGCTCTGTTTATTTTTAACAAATCTGTTTTCCCCAGAAACTACTGTCAGGGAAGGGGGGTGTTTCATACCATGCAACCCAGACATGAGCGAATTTCTTCAGCCTCTAGGGACACAGAAGGCAAATCTGTGTTTAGGAGTAGGTCTCTGCTCCAGACTTGGGTAAGAGGCATGGACAGAGGTGTCCTGTCTGAGGGAGGCACATTGCCTGGGGCTACCGTGGGCATGCACAAGGGAAGAAACCGAAGATTCAAGGAGAAGGTGTGAGTCAATAGAGGGACAGATAGCTAGGTGGATTTTCTGCTTATTAAAGTGAGGCAATAATAGTCATGGCTAGAAACATTTCTGAGTTAAAAACATCTGAAACTAGCTTCTAAGTGCATTTCACTCTGACAATTCCAAAATAGCCTCACATCTTTCTTTTCATTTTTGCCCGTGAATATCTTTTTCTAGTTTCATGTGTTCCAGCATTCAGCTAACAGGGAGTTTTAGGACCAAGTCAAGGATTATTATGGAGATTCTGACAGCACCTTTACTGTTAGAACACAAAGAACATCACTTTATTTAGTACTCTTCTCCCAGCAGATATTTAAAGAATTATAACCATATACATGTTAAAATTCTTACTTATAAAATATTACATGCTTCAACCAAGTGATGTATACTGTTACTGTGGAACATGAATTTCCTCCTTCAATGGTGAATGTCAACATATGACTTTCTTGTTGCCATAAAATATTCTACAACTGCAATGCCCAGAATGACTAACAATAGTGAATCCTTCTGTCTCAATATTATGTTATACAAGGAGGACTATGACAGAAAGACTCCTATGACAGAATTCTCTATATCTAATCTTAGCAGCTACTGCATACCAGCTGAGAGTAAAGCTAAGTTCACATAATGAAATATTTAAAATTATTTAACACATTGGGACAACTCTGGTGCAACTCTACTGATTTCAACATCATTAGGTCACGTATGAATCTGGCCCATTTCTGAACAAGAAAGTTAGTACTCTGTCCACTCTACTAGACAAAGGACATTGGTAAATGAACATTAATATTGACATGGTGGTGCAGAAACTGTTACAATAAAGACTAAAACAAACTGACACTCATTTAATGGAAGAATCCAGTATCTCCTGATAATCTTGCCTTCCTAAATTCTTCCAGGACAGCTTATAACATGCAAGGAAAACAACAGTGATCATAATAATGGCCCCTCCAATGAGGTCATAAATGCCGGGAAAGATGCGTAGCACTGCGAGCTGCAGAATCATGGCTATCACAATCTCTAAATGTTGCACTGTGCTGACCAGAGCTGGGTGAAATTTATTCAAGGCATAATAGACACCCAGGAAAGCCACAGTCGAACATATGCAGATGGCAATGAGATAGCTCCAGGTTTCTCCATCGAGTGGGATAATTGGTTCTTGAAGAAAAAACATGGTGGAGGCTCCCCACACAGTTCCAGTCCAACCAAAAGTAAACAGTGCAGTCCACATACTGACCCTATCTTTGATTGACTTGTAGACTATCATGGAAAGAGCTGTAGTTAAGCCTGCCATAACTGTCATGGTGTAGCCAAAGGCTTCTTTCCAGACACTGAGCAAAGAGTTTTCTTCATTAACAATGTTGGGGAACATGACCAGGCAAACACCAAAGACACTACTAACTACTGTCATTATGTCTATATAAGCCATTCGTTCATCTATTAGTAAAAAAGCCAAAATGGCACTAAAGACAGTGGTGGTTGCTCTCCACATAATGGTCCCATTGGTTGGGGGTACTATAGAGAAGGAGGTGTAAGCACAGGTAATGGAGATAACATTGCAGACACCATAGAAGAAGAGCTGCAGTCTGTATCCTTTTGGTCCAAAGGGGTCCTCGTGGTAGTAACACACAACAACAACAGACAACACCTGTATGACTGAACGAATGAAAATTAGTTCTAGAGATGGCACTTTGGAACGATCAGAAACAAGTCTAGTTATCAGAGCAACACAGCCATGAGTCAAGGCAGAGGCAAACAGCACTATCCAAGTCTTTCTGGACTGAAATATGCTTCCTTCTGTAAAATTCTGGTGTTGTCCAGTCTCATTGGCTTTCGTCTCTTGGGCTGGCTGAGGTTGGATATCCATAGTCCCAAAGAAGGCTCTTCCTTTCCTTTTTCTGTCACTCAGCAATCTTTTCTTTGGATTGTCCTCCATAAAGCTACCGATATCTTCACTGGTTTCATCAGAGTCCTCTTCTCCAGGTTGGGGATAATGGGATGTATATTTCACTGTCACTGTGTTGGGATGGATTTTCACTCGTTTTTTGACTGGACATTGTTTGGAAGAAGTATCCATTTCCTCAGAGAACTAGGTCTGGTCTTAAAAAAAAAAAAAGTTATTTTTATTCAACCAATATTGTAAAATTCATTTGCATTGCAGTCTTTTGACCATTTAGAAATTATTGGCATGAACCTAACCAAGTTGCTCTTGTCCTCCATGAATTCTCTCTATTTTTATTTCATAATGGAAGTTGCTCAGTATCTTTGAAAACCAGGTCATTTTTATTTAAGTGCCTACATATAACTTTAGGGCCTAACTTTAGGCACTCACTTTTGAAAATGATGCCTATTATTACATTGCTTCTTAAAAAGAGACATGCAAATTAATAACAATTCTCATTACACTGAGAATAATTTCCTCTTTGGACCCTTCAGGTCAGTTAGTCATTCTGTAATCATTAATGGTTTTTATTCTTTACCAAGTGCTAAGGGGCAAAGAGAAATACAGACCGAAAATGAAATTTGGGTTAGAGAAGACTAGAGCGATTTTTATCAATTCAAAGTGAAGCAACCCAGAGACAGACAGATGGCATCACTGAGCACCTCAGTGAACTAAGCACCTGGTGGACCAGAAAAGTGTAAAAAGTACTACAGTAAATTTTCAAATTCTCTGAAGCTCTTTTTGCATATTATTATTTCCAAAAACTGTTGACTATCAATTTGTTTTCCAAAGGAACTTCAGTTGGAAAAAAAGACTAAGAAATATTATGAAAAGAAGCTATCCACTCCTTGGCAGTGTAGAGGAGAACAAGTGGATTTTGCTACTGTTATGAAATGACAGAGATATCAAACTTATATTCAGGCTGCCTAAAGTGAACATTTGCACATTGTTCTATTCAACCTCACCTGGACGCCTCATTTTTCATCCAACATGGTTGAATTGCTACATTTACTCTATAAACAAGAAAATTAATATATTAACAGATTTTCAAGGCCTTGAAGAGACCATTATGATTTCTATTGAATCTGATTTCCTGCATGACACAGGCCAGAGAATTCCAACCAGTGATTCCTTCCGTGTAGGAAACATTTATTTCTATTTTATAAGTAAACATATCAAACCAATAACTCATGTTGGCACTACAGCATGTCTTTTAAAATCACAGATTCCAAGGCCTGAAGAGACAGACCATTGTGGCCATCTAGTATGACCTCCTGAACAACACAGGCCAGAGAACTTCCCCATAATAATGCCTACAGCAGATCTTTTAGAAACCCAATTTGATTTAAATATACTCAGTGATGGATAATCCACAACAACCCTTAGTAAATTGTTCCAGTGGTTAATAACTCTGTTCATTTATGCTTTATTTTTAATCTGAATTAATCTATCTTCAACTTCCAGCCACTGGATTGTGTTAGATCTTTCTTTGCTAGATAGAAGAGCCCATTAATAAGTATTTGTTCCCCATGCACGTATTACAGATAAGGCTGGCAGGATTTGATAAATGGTTAGTCTTCAGTAAATGTTGATTTCTCGTGACACACAGAAATAGACAAAGACATCCACCTACAATAGTCAGCAAGCACAGCCTCCCTCTCCCTTAGCATCCACAGGAATCCAGTGAGCCCTTGCAGCCCCACTGTCATGGCCCATTTTATTCAATCACTGGCCAGAAGGGACAGCCCTACTCATATGGAAACTACGCAACTGCGTAGGGCACCAGGAAATTTGGGGCACCAAAACTGCCCCAAATTTCCTGGTGCCCTACGCAGCTGCGTGCTGCATCCAGCTCCAGCAGCCAGTCCGATTCCCCTGGACGGCAGGGCCCAGGAAAGCTACCTCCGCCACACCACTTTCCCCCAGCCCCTGCCCCTGCTCTGCCCCCACCCATCCTCTTCCCACCCCTGCTCTGCCCCAGCCCTGCCCCCACTCCGCCCCTTCCCCCACAAACCCCATCCTGTAAGCTATGTGTCCCAGGGGACAGCAGCAGGGGTCGGGCCCGCCCTGCACTCACTGGGCGGCGGGAAGTGGAGTGACCCAGCCCCAGGCCGCTCCGCTATGCCAACTCCCAGCTGTGCCACTAGTGAGTGCTGGGGGGTGGTTCCCCCCGTTCCCCCAAGCCTGGGAGCCAGAGCGGAGCAGGCTGGGGCCGGGTCGCTCCACTTCCCGCCACCAGCCCGACCCCTGCTGCCTTCCTGCACAGGCTGCTCCTGCCTTCCAAAGCCCTTGGGCGCAGCCCCTTCCCACCCCCAAGCAGAGGCCTGGTACGCCTCCCCCCTCCCCCCCCCGCAGAGGCCTGGGGCCAGTCCCCCTGCAGGGGGGCTGCGTAGGGCATCACAATCTCTACGGATGGCCCTGCTGGCCAGGAGTGTGGGGCTCTTCCCCGGGCATGAGCCATTCAGCAGCAGAGAGTCCTCTCATGCAGTTAGGGGCTCATCCTGCTCCTTGCAGTCCTGGCCAGGTGTCTCTGCTCCACCAGGCCAGAACCACAGTCTTTCCCACACCTTGTGCCTCAGTATCTGCAGCCTTACTTTCAGTGCTGGGAGCCCCTGGAGCCCTGCTGTCAGTGCTGCACTAACTCTAACACCAAGAGATAATCCCCCCGCCCCCACCGCCCCACACACACACACACCTTAATTTCATGCAACTGAGAAAATCAAAATAGTTAAAAATGAAAAAGCTTTAAAATAAACATTGATGTTAATCATTTGAAGTTACAAAAATAAATAAATACATTGAATTCTGCCAGGCCTATTTATAAAGACAAGGTGGGTGAGCTAGTATCTCAGGAAGCACTGAATTCTGTTGGTGAGAAAGACAAGCTTTTGAACTTTCTGTGTGTCTCTCTAATATCCTGGGACCAACACACCTACAACAATATTGCATACAAGCCTACTTAATTACAGTCTGTAAGTCACCCCTTAACCTTCTCTTTGAAAAGCAAAACACATTGAGCTCCTCACATCTATCACTAGGAGGTATGTTTTCTAAACCTTTAGTCATTCTTGTGGCTCTTCTCTGAACCCTCTCCAACTTAACATCCTTCTTGAATTGAAGGTACCAAAACAGGACCCAGTACTCCAGAAGCTGTTGCACCAATGCCAAATATAGAGATAAAATAACCTCTACTCCTTCTTGAGACTCACCTCTTTATGCATCCAAGGATTGTTGTCCCCCTTTTGGGCACCGCATTGCACTGGGAGTTCATGTTCAGCTGATTATCCACCACAACCCCCAAATCTTTTTCAGTCATTGCTTCCCAGAATAGAGTCCCCCATCCTGTACATATGGCCTGCAGTCTTTGTTCCTAAATGTATACATTTACATTTAGCCATATTAAAACACATTATTTGCTTGCACTCAGCTTACCAAGTGATCCAGATCACTCTGAATGAGTGACCTGTCCTCTTCAGTATTTACCACTCCCCCAATTTTTGTGTCATCTGCAATGATGATTTTATGTTTCTTCTAAGACATTGATAAAAATATTTAATATCCTAGGTCCAAGAATCCATCTCTGCGATACCCCATGGGAAACACATACGCTCAATGATTATTCCCCATTTACAATTACATTTTGAGACCTATCAGTTAGCCAGCTTTTAATCTGTGTAATGTGTACCATGTTCATTTTATGGCATCCTAGTTTTTTAATCAAAATGTTGTGTGGTACCAAGTCAAATGCCTTACAGAAATCTAACTATATTACACCAATACTATTAGGTTTATCAGCCAAATTTGTAACCTCATAAAAAAAAAATCAAATTAGTCTGACAGGATCTGTTTTCCATAAACTCATGCTGACTTGCATTAAATTATGTTACCCTCCTTTTAATTCTCCATTAATTGAGTCCCCTAACAGCTGCTCCATTATCTTTCCTGGAATCTATGTCAGACTGAGTGGCCTATAATTACCCCAGTCATCTTGTTTACCCCTTTTAAATATTGGCACGCCATTAGCTTTCGTCCAGTTTTCTGGAGTCCCCATTGTTCCAAGATGTATTGAAAATCAACATTAACAGTCCAGTGTGCTCCTCAGCCAGCTCTTCTAAAACTCTTAGATTCAATTTACCTGGACCTGCTGATTTAAACATGTCTAACTTTAGTAGCTGTGTTTAACATCCTCTTGAGATACTGTCATGGACCAGGGCATGGATGGTCAGAGCAGTGGCAGTCAAGCCTGGTGGTCAGAACTGGGGTCAGCATCTGGGAACAGTGCCAAGGGACAGAGCTGGAGTCAGCAACCAGGGGTCAGAGCCAAGGATCAGAATCGGAGGCAGGAACTGAGCAGGGCTGGAGAAAGGCTGGGAACAAGGCAAGCACAGGCGCTTAGTTGGGTCAGAGCCAGGCTAGGAGGCAGACATCTCTAGCCTGCTGCAGGACTCTGGACCAGACTCAGGACTCTGGACCAGACTCTGAGCTGCCCCCAGAGGAGACCAAGAGTGGGGAAGAGCTGTTGGGACTGCTGTCCACCACTTACCCTGAGCAAGCTGAGGACCTGCAGACTACGGAGTCACACCAATGGACTGTGATAGAAAGTAGCCCAGGGGAGCCAGACATCAGTCAGGTTGTACTGTCACCATATGATTCAGCATGTTTCAGCAGGATTCCCACTGACCCAGTGGCGGGATCCCCTGGCACTTTTAGGGATCTGGGTTAGAACCTAGTAGAGTAGGGATAGCCTGGGTCCCCCCAACCCTCTGCTGAAGCCTTCTCATCCTAGGCCAGAAGGCCTGTGCCTTGTTTGTGACTTGTTCCAGCCAGAAGGCTGCAAGCCGCTAGACTGTGTTTGCTGTCTGCCTTAGCCAGGAGGCTACGCTAACGATTCCTTATTGTTCTGCCCTGCCCAGGGAGTCAGAGCCTAGACTGTGTTTACTGCCTGCCTGTGACAGGATGGACTAGGTCCAGAGGCCCCCCCCACCCCGCTGGAGGCCAATCGGTCCTGCCTCACCCTGCCCCAGAAAAGAGCAGAGAAGTCCTTCAGGCAGCCTAGAGTGGCTGCAGAGAAGCAGCCAATCAGAGGCGATGTTGGAGCAACCAGTTGGGGCTAGAAGGGCCATATGTAAGGAATCAGCAGAGGCAGAGCAGTCAGGTGCTGCCTGGAGATTGAAGAGGGAGAACTGGGAGCCTGGTTGGTAGAAAGAGCAGCAGGACTGCGGACAGCTCACAGCAGGTGGGACAGAGCCCAGAGAAGGCTGCTGAAGATGGGGTGCCTGTCTGGCTGGAAGATCACCAGGACTATGGAAAGGTTAGTGTGGGCAGGCTGAGCCCAGGGGACTGAGCCCAGAACCTAACCAGAGCAGGTGCGGGTACCGTGATGGACTCTACTGGTCTGGTTGAAGACTGAGTCCAGCGAGGACTGCTGAAAGGACACCAACTGAGGGTACTCAGATGGGCCCCTGTTGCACTACTACAGAAAGCAGTGCCCCTGGGGAGGGAGCCTTGGTACTATGACCCCATACCAGGGCTGTGAGAAAGAACTAGAGACTGTATACCTGGGAAGTGGGGGACAGTGTGTGTGTGTGACTTGGGCTAAGTCGCTGAAGACATGCCAAACTACCATTGGCCAGCGGGGCACTTGCAAAAGGCAGGTGCCACCCCATTGTAAGAACTGAAAGAAAAACAGGTTCCCACCCAACCAGAAAGGTAAGAGGTAAGAGCCACCCTGTTCAAAAATAGAGTGATTGCAGGTATGTAGTGGCTAAAACAGGGGCGCTCATGAGAGGTGGGTGCTGACCCCATTACACTGCCTTAGCCAGAAGCCTTAGGCTAAAGACTGCTTATTGCTCTGCCCAGCCCAGAGAGTCACAGCCTAGACTGTGTTTATTGTCTGCCTTAGCCAGGAGGCTTGAGCTAGAGTGCGCTGATTAGCTTTTGTTTATTGCCTGATGCAGCAAATCAGAGTCGCCTCGCTCAGCGCCTGAGACAGAGGGACCACCACAGATGCAATGAGCCCAGTTCCTCTGCGTGCAGAGGGAACTGCAGGCCAGATGAAGGCATGGGGGCGGGGCTAGACTTAGCCCATATTTGACATGACTGCTCTACCTCAACCACAGGCAACTGTGCTGGATTCAAGAATCACTAGTGACGCTGTCTGGCCAGGATGTCAGCATACATCATCACAACACTCCCTTCTGACCTGAACCTGTGACTATAGGATTGCTGGGAAGGAGGAAAAGGGGTTTCTAAACAGTGTGCACCCAGACACCCTCTCAGGATGAAGGTGTGTGACTGTTTGTGGTGAATGGACTATGGTAGCCACCCTGACACGTGGCAGAATGGGATTGTGTGACTAGCCCATTAAGAGGAGTTTGACTGAGTCTGGGAACCCACACAAAAAGAACTAATAGGGAACTCACAGCCTTCCCAGAGGGAACAGCTTTGAGTGTTGTATTATGGTTTTAGTGTCTATTACAGTTTAAAGGTCTACTAGTCTGTGTGGGTTTTTTTGTTTGTTTTGTCTGTTTTGTTTTTTATGGGTTAGTGAGTTTAGTTTAACAGAAAGTTTTAACACAACAGGAGTAAATCCTAAAGTCCATCAAGGTTTCTGCCACAGATGAAGTTGGTGATGTACTCTGGCTCAGATTTCTTCAGTCAGAAGCCCATTTTCATTCTTGGTAACTGGTATCAGGCAACTGATGAGTTTGCACAAGGGGTACAGGCACCCCTGCATGGCTCCTGCAGCTCTCACTTCACCTTTTTTGTCTCTCATACTTGTGCTTGATGTGTTTCTACAGTTTCCCATGGTTGAGACGCTCGTAGAGTGTCCATACCCTGGTCGAAGGTGCGTTCAAAGACCAGGGCCCCCAGAACGATGGTGAGGGCAAAGGTGGAGGTGCGGCAGAAGAGCACACTGTACAGCTGGGAGCACAGCGGTACGGTGGCCTCCTCCGGCAACTCCAGACGTACTGTAGCATAACTGGTACTGCACAGGCCTACTGTACAAGCTGCAGAGAAGCCAGCCACCAGATGCATCCAATGGTAGTAAAAGTCTTATGGGGGCCTCTGCAGTCCCCACACCACTCCTGTAGTGGAGCTCAGTTACTGTGGTGAGCCAAGGGGAATCCAGATCCCAGTCTGAGTCTGCATGTAGGAAAAATATCAGCTTAATCCTAAACTGAGAACATCTGATACAGAATTGATGAAAGCAGAGAGATGCAACCGACAGGGTGAAATTCACACTCCATCAGCCCCTCCACCTCAGTTACACAGATACAGTGGTCCCAATACCCTGTGAAAAAGTGGATCCACAGCCCCTCCCCAGATTGCCATGGACCATTTGCAGTTTGTCCCAAACTGACCTTCTATGCCAATCCTGTGTGGGCCATTCCAGAGGGCATCTCCATGGTGTAGGCACCCCTGCATGGCCACACAGCCAGCTGACCCCCAACTCCGTCTGTTAGGCTTACATGGTATGGAGTGCCTCACACCCACTCCTGCACCTAGCACACATTAGGGTGACCAGACAGCAAATGTGAAAAATCGGGATGGGGTGGGGGTAATAGGAGCCTATATAAGAGACCCAAAAATTGGGACTGTCCCTATAAAATTGGGACATCTGGTCACCTAGCACAGATCTTGCCCATATTACATATTATATACAAAATAGGGTTTTAAATTATTTCAAATGGGTTGCACTGGGATAGAAAATACAGTGTTAGAGCCACGGAGATTACACGTAAAAAAGAAAAAGAGAGATTACGTCTGAGTAAAAAAATAAGTTCTGTTTTCTAAAAATGGTAACTCTCCTACATATCCCTTGCAAACTGGACACCATGAAATTAGGCCTGAATAAAGACTGGGAGTGGATGGGTCACTCCACAAACTAATTTCCCCATGCTAATATTTCCCCCTACTGTCACTCACACCTTCTTGCCAACTGTTTGAAATGGGCCACCCTGATTACATTGGCCTCATTACCACTACAAAAGTGATTTTTTCCCTTCCTTGATATTCTACTGTTGAGAATAGCCCAATTCCACTTTAACTGAATTGTCTCCTTAGCACCGACACCCCCCGCAACTTGGTAAGGCAACTCCCCCGTCTTTTCATGTACTGTGTATATATACCTGCCTACTGTATTTTCCACTCCATGCATCTGATGAAGTGGGTTTTAGCCCACAAAAGCTTATGCCCAAGTAAATGTTAGTCTCTAAGGTGTCACAAGTACTCCTCATTGTTTTTGCTGATAGACTAACATTGCTACCACTCTGAAAAATTAAAGATTGTGTCTGGAGGGTGAAATAATGCGAGTGGCATGATAGTTTAGTAAAGAGCCTTTCTCTGATTTTTCTATTGAAAAATTTGTTTGAACAAGAGCAACAAAAATGTTGTCCAGTAAAATAAAACAAACATGAAGGCCTAATGGCAAACTCTTTTGTTTAATTATAGGAATATAGAAAATAATTAATTTAAAAGCATAGATTAATTACTTTTTAAAGGAACTTATGCCTTTAGCTCTAATTTTTTACTTCACATACTTCATAAAATATATGCTGTATTTGCTGCAGTGATGTGTTCCATATTAAATGTCATCTTTTAAATCACATAATCATACATTTAATTTTGTTCTTTTTAAGAAGTAGTGACTTACTTTTTCTTCCATTACTTTACATTAAAATGACCTAGCCAACAAATGAAAGAGAGACCAGATAAGAAAACCACCAGATAAATACTCCCCAAAGAAACAGATCTTGAGCATTCTGTTATGGGGACTCTATACAAATTATTGCATAACAACAGTTTAATTGAAATGACAGGAATGTTCACACTGGTAATCTGCATAAAATCCCAGACTTTATATTACAATCAATGTATCTTGTGGGGAAAAGCAGGCAGATATATTACTAGACTTAACAGTATTTCAAGTTTCTAAAATAGTGGTAATGGAATGGAATTTTACTCATACCTTGGGGGCAAGTAGGCATTTATTTAGCTAAACTCAGATGGATTCAAGAAGAGTCCAAACTTTGTAAGTTAAAAATCTGTTGTGGAAAGTTGATTCTGTGAGAAAATCTATACTACACCATTTCAGCAGCAGCACTATGTGCCTTTTTGTCGCATATTCTAAATCTCCCCCGGAAAGAAAACTGGATATTTGGCTCCTCCGCCAAAAAAAAAAAAAAAAAAAATCAGCATCTGTGCTTTAAAGCCTCCTTTTTCTTACAATTCATAGGAGTCTTTATTTTGAATGTGTCAGCCTTTCTCACTGAAATATAAATACATCTTTGTCCCAGAATTAAAATATCAAGTGGCTTAACCATAGTCTCTGCCGACGAGAGAAATACCGTGTGTGGCAAAACAAACAAAAACATATTAAAGTAAAACTATCAGATCTTACGGACTGTTCGGGAACTCTTCCACCCTGCTAATTAAAAATGCTACGTTGATTGATAAACTCAGCCCTACTGTGAAATTCTCTGCAGCTTCCTCCAGCTGCGCCCATTCGTCACACCAGCTTTATTTAGGAGGAACATTTCCTTGCCTTGTGATCATAGAATACCAGGGTTGGAAGGGACCTCAGGAGGTCATCTAGTCCAACCCCCTGCTCAAAGCAGGACCAATCCCCAATTTTTGCCCCAGATCCCAAATGGTCCCCTCAGGGATTGAACTTACAACCCTGGGTTTACCAGACCAATGCTCAAACCACTGAGCTATCCACCAGCAACCGTCTCCTGGAATGAGCCCTATTTCTTTGAAGGGCGAGTCAGTAAATCCTGGAGCCTGGGAGAGAAATGAAAGGGCTTCGATCTCCCTGAACGCCGCAGAGCTAAACTGGAGAGGTGAAAAGGGGGAGTAAATGCAGCCCACATGCCCCTCTGAGCTGCTGAATGACGACGAGAGAGATTTCAGTACCTTGGACACACAGCAAATGAGTTTAGTGCTGTTCCCTAATGATACATAAAGCGGCGTTACCAGTCCTGGACTCTGCTCTTTACCCATTTACCATTTTTGTCTATATTTATGGAA